CTGTAGCAGAATTTTTTTTTTCCATGACTGCTGGGCTCCTTTACCTGCCCAGAATTCTTCCATGACTATGCACACTTGTCGGGCTCTTTTACCTGCCTGGAATCCTGCCACGGCTACGCCAATTTTAAAGCTACATGACAATGCTAATTGTCAGAGTAAGGCAAATCATAACTAAAGCCAAAATGTTTCATTATTTTAGTTATACTAAGTTTCCATTTGTATTGTTAGGGCTAGGGCTCAGACCTTTCAAACCCATTGTACAGACTGGGTCACCAGACCCCTCACACACAGGTCCATGCCTAGGTAATTAGGAAAGATCCCGGGAGCCATTGGCAGATGTGAGTTCAGTTCTCAGTGGCAGCAGCCTTTCAGGGCATTCTGGGGGCACTGGCAGCACCAGCCTCCAGCAGCGGTAGCGGCCTCCCCATGGCCCCCCGGGGGCATCTGTTGGGGGGAGCGGGGGAGGACACCATGGATCAGAGCCACTCATCCTTTATACTTAAGTCCATAACCCAAGACACCTGGGTGCACATACACAATTACATTAGACAATAATCAAGGAACACCTGGGCGCACATGCATTTTTATATCAAATGCTCAGCAAGATTCTGAACATCTGAGGGGCACTAACCATTTTCCTATATCTTCCCAACAATGACTAATAACCTTACTTTTGTTTCTGAGAAAAGGAGACTGTATTACCTTGTATAGGGAAAGTGAGGATAAATGGTCAGCGTTCTTCAAGAGGCTGGGAGTCTTGCCGATCATTTGATGCAAATATGCACGTGCACCCAGGTGTTCCTTGGTTACTGTCTAATGTAATTGCACATGTGCACCCAGGTGTCCTGGGTTATCAGACTTAAGTATAAAGGACAAGTGGCTCTGATCCATGGTGGCCCCCACCCAACCCCCCAGGATGCCCCTGGGGGGGCCACACAGAGGCTGTTACTGCTGTTGGAAGCTGTTGCTGCCACTGCTGATGCTACTGCTGCTGAGGAGGCTGAGGACTGAGCTCATGTCGTCTGCCAATGGCTCCCAGGATCTTTCCCAATTACCTAACTCATGGACTTGTGTGTGAGGGGTCTGGTGACCCAGCTGGACATGCGAGGGGTCCGGTGACCCAGCCGGACATGTGAGGGGTCTAGTAACCCAGTCAGGCACATGAGGGGTCTGGTGACCCAGTCTGTACAACATGTTTGAAGGGTCTGTGAGCCCTAGCCCTGATAGTACAAATGGATAATTCTAGTGTAACCAAAATAATGAAACATTCTGGCTTTAGCTATGAATTGCCTAGCAATACAACTGGCTATGTTGGCAGGATTCCAACAATTGCCCTAGCCAATTAGCATAACCAATTAGCATACACCTTGATTCATGACAATCATAAAACTGCAAAACATATAATTCAGGAGGGGATAAATTAGCCTTTTGAATAGAAACTTTTCAAATATCCATGAACCGGGACACACATTTTTAAAGATATTATAAAGAACATCTTGAGTCAAATAAGACTTTGAAGATGAATTAGTCTAGAGCAGGCGTTGGCCAACTATAGCCTGTAGGCCAAATCCAGCTTGCTACTTTTTTTAAAAATAAATACTTATTGGAACATAGTCAGACTCATTTGTTTGTGTATTGTCAATGCCACTTGCACTACATTGGCAGAATCAAGTAGTTGGGGGAGAGACTGTATGGCTTGCAAAGCCTAAAATATCTGACCCCTAACAGAAAAAGTTTGTATCAGATAAAAAGCGCTCTAGAGGTTTTCCACTATGGGCTGCACATTAGAATTACCTGGAGTGCTTGTAAAAGGGGATCACCTCAGAGATTCTGATTAAGTTGGTCTGAGGTGGAATCCAAGTATTGGAATTAAAACTTTTTTTTATTCTCCAGATCATTCTAATATGCAGCCGTGGCTGAGAATCCCTAGTCTAATCTAGTCTCCTCTTTCACAGATGAGGAAAGTCAGGCACAGATGTTAATTAAGATCTATCCCATTTTGTAATAAGTACTACCTTCTATAAAGCTCTGTAAAGTACATCCACCTACATTATCTCATTTGATCCTTAGAACAAATCTGAGATTCGAAGAGCAGTAAGCATTGTTGTCCCTGGTTCACAGATGACAGAATTAAGACTCAGGGAATTTAAGTTATGTGCCCAGTCTCCTATTTAGTAAAAGGGAGCTAAGACTTATGCCCAGGTCTTTTAAATCAAGCCCACCAACCACTGATGTTAACTGTACAAATTACATTCTTAGATTTTATTTTGGCATATGGAGTACTATTTACTATCAGTGCCTCTAGACCAGGGATCACACTACCATTCCCAGAACATTTAGAAACCTGCCTTCCTATAGCAGACTATACTCTGTGGAGTCCCTAGGATTCCTCAGGGTCATTGTGAAAGTAGTGTGAGGAGAGGACATGTGTGTGTGTGTGCATGTGCAATGCATGTGTACATGTGTGTGTCTCTACTCCCTGTGCCTATTTCAACCACAGCAGGTATATTTTTATCTGTTCAAGTATTAGGGTCTCACATACAATTTTCTATGAATAGAGTTTCATTGTTGAAGATAACTGATCTCAGACCTTTGTCCACTGTTTTGATCCAAGATGGCATGGTCAGTTTGCCCCTACATTCCTGTCACTTTTACATCATCAACCAGTTCTCCCCTGTTGTTCCAAATGAAGTCCAAAATAATAGTTTCTCATAACACCAACATTTCTTTTTGAGAGATGAAAATCACTTTTAGCAGACCAGACTTCCCGCATCTGTCACAGTAACTGAAATTGCTCATTACTGCTTCCTGCCTACCTCCATGCATACTGTATAACCCATTTTAAGAAAGCATCAGCCTCATCCACTCTCTAGCTGGGCCACAGCATGTCTCTTTCCTGCTGATTATGTCTGCCTTCAACTCAACTCACATGGTCCCCACCTTGCTTCATTCTTGGGCTTTCTTGTATATGAAAGTGAGGTATTAATGATGGGGGTGGGGAGGAAATAAGACATTTTGCATTTCATCCTGTTTCCAGGGAGGAAGGAACCTTTATTCCCCTCTCCACAGAAGTGAGAAGTCCCACAATGGGCAGAACACATCAGCTTTTCAATCTATGACCTATTTGTACCCTTTCACAAGAGGTGAAATTACTAACTTGACACTTTAATCAGGACTAGTGCCGGAGTGCATGAGGTGATGCTATGGTTAACTATGTCCTGATAAGTCAGTATCTTGTTCTCAAACCTGATGGGAAGATTACTTGGAGGTAATAGGAAGCCCCCACTGTGAATCTATTTTTAGTTCCAAGAATGACAGGGATAGCCAGAGTCGGAGTGCATGAGGTGATGCTATGGTTAACTATGTCCTGATAAGTCAGTATCTTGTTCTCAAACCTGATGGGAAGATTACTTGGAGGGAATAGGAAGCCCCCACTGTGAATCTATTTTTAGTTCCAAGAATGACAGGGATAGCCAGAGTCACACCCATGGCATAACCTCATATTTCATCAGATATTTGAGGAGGCATTATCAATGAATCCTACAACCTAACTGTCAGAAGCAACCTATTGCCCGAGAAAAGCATAGTGCTTAAGTCTTAATGAAAGAGGCTGTGACCTTAAATCAACATTAGGAACATCTTTGTCTTCTCACTTTAATAGGGTCATGTCTCTTAACTTTACTAACTCCCAAAATATATGGTTCCCTTTTTACATACATAAACAAACACTTATAAACATAAATACCAAATTCAGGAGACTCAGATGGGCCGATAAATTTTGGAAGCTAAGAGTACAGAAGAAAAGGCCAGTCACCAGAGTTTACAAACAATCATCTGAACTTCTCTGGCCATTTGACTAGATAATATTATCCCAAATATCCCATGTTGCATGGTCCACAGGTCTTCCTTTGGGATTCTGAAGGAATCAATAGCCATACTTGTCGTTAAGGTGGGTTCTGCCATCTCCACTTTGGCCTAGATCAGAGTATAAAAAAAGAAAAAAAATACATTTACTCTTCCAAAGTCAGGAGGGAAAATATACCCAGCTATCAGCCAGCCAAAAAGTAAAACAGAGGTTTCTTCTATAACAGAAATTTTACTTTTTGTATTCAATTTCAAAATATGGCCCTGTAGAGAAAATGAAAAGTAAATGGTCAGGATCCCTTGGGGGTTCGGAATTTGCTGAGCATTTGATGTAAATGATAATTATGCATGTGTGCCCAAGTATTCCTTGGCTATTGTCTGTGCATGTGCATGGGCACCCAGGTGTTCCTGGGTTATTGGACTTAAGTACAAAGGACTAACAGCGATCCACAGTGCCCTTGGGATACCCTGGGAAGTCACTAGGGAGGCTGCTGCTAGCTACCTGAGCTTACATACATCTGAATAAAGCCTGTTAAAATTTTTACCCACGGCTCCCAGGATCTTTTTCCTGTTAAGTAGCTCATGGACCTGCAGGTGATGGGTTTCTGACCCAGTCTATACAACAGGTTTGGAGGGTCTGTGGGCCCTAGCAATACAATTGGCTATGTTGGCAGGATTCCGACAATTGCCCTAGCAATACAGGTCCTCTTTTCACTTCTACCCTAACATTAGCAGATAAAAAGCAAACATTTCTAGTAATTAAATTTCTATTGATTACTAGTTATTAGATAACCCATCCACAGAAAAAGCATATGGGGATATGCATATGGGGAAACCAGCTTCTCATACACTACCTTAAGGGTGTACATATGAGTGTAAAACTGATACAATCCCTATAGAATGCAATCTATAATATCTTAAAGATGTTCATACCTTTAATACAGCATGTTAACTTTTATACTTTTTTTCTACAGGTGCACCTCTCCATATATTATACATGTTAAACAATTATAAATGCTAAAGGTTACTCACTGCAGAGTTGTTTGTAATGGCAAGAGACTAGAAACAGCAAATATCCATTGAGGGAACTATTCAAATAAGTAAAAGTATAATGTACCATAAAAAAGAACTATGCTGTCATAAAAACATAACAAGAAATATATAAATAGCATGGAAGCATCTCCATATAGTACTAAGTGCAAAATAGTAAGGTGTAGAATATGCTTCCATTTGTGTAAAAAAAGTGGTGAAATATTATGTATTTTATTGCATATATAGGCATTTTATATAATATATATAATAATTCATAAGACTATAATATCTGGTGTCTTTAGAGGAAAAAAACTGGGTAGCTGAGGCAGAGCCAAAAGAATTTTTTTTCTTTAACTTAACAAAAAAATTTTTAAATACATGCAAAATAAATATAAAAGTATAATGAACCCCTATGTACCCATCACCCAGCTTTAACAATGATCAATATTTGGCCAATCTTGCTTTATCTATTACTCCTCCCATACATTCCCTTATCCTCCACCACTGGATTACTTTAAGGTAAATCCCAGATACCATTCCACCTGTGAACATCTCTGTATATATTCCTAGAAAATAAGGATTTTTCCAAAAACAACTTAATACCATTCACACTTTTAAAAAATTAACAATAATTTCTTAGTATCATCAAATATCCAGCTAGTGTTCAAAATTACCTGACTGGCTAATAATTTTTTTAACAGTTGTTGATTTGAAGAAGGATTAAATCAGGGTGCACAGATTGTATTTGGTTGATATGTCTCTTTAGATCTTTTAATCAACCTGTTCTGCCAGAAGGGAGGCTTCTCCCTATATACTTTTGTAACTTTATTTTGAACCTTAAACATATATTACCTATTTAAAAATATAAATTAATAAACTCAGAGAAAAAGAAAAGTGAAAACAATCTACCTTCAGGTGGGACCCATACACAGTAGTCCGGGTCATCTTCAGGATATTTGGAAGAAAGTGTTGGCAGAAGCTGCAAAGAAAAGATAGATTATTTTATTCCAAAGAATTTTAACTCTAAGAATTATTGTCCCTATGCTTGCCAGCAAACAAAAACTAAGAGAGAATAATTTCATTAATTATCTTGATATAAGTAAACTATTTGGGGGAGCATTCTTTCTCTAAACCTTAATATATTTTGTTCCTTAAAGCCTCAACAAGCTGATTTTCAGCCAGTGAGAGCGATATGATGCTCTCTAAAAGGGGGTAGTTAACATACTGCAGATATGAGTGCTAAATGCTACAAATTTGGCATTTGCCTTTTGACCAAGGTGCAGAAAAGAATTAAAAGAGCAAGGCTGACTGCTATCCTTTGACTCTGTTCACAAGACTGGACCTTGGCTGGTGTCTGGCAACTTGGATTTCGGGAGGGTTACTACTACCCTGATAAAAGTGGCTTGCTGTGCCTAAACTGTTTGTACAAACAATATGGTTCATGCTGAACACCTGCTTTCTTTCTGGGAGTCTGGCTTTGGGTATACGCCAGGCAGGGAATGCCTATGTGATCAGTCCCCAATAAAAATCCTGGGCATTGAGTCTCTCATGAGCTTCCCTAGTTAGCAACACTTGACATGTGGGGAATTAAGCATGTCCTGTGTGACTCCACTGCAAAAGGATCTTTGGAAGCTTGTGCCTGGTTCCCCCAAGAATTTGCCCCATGTGTCTTTCCCTTTGTTGACTGTGCCTGGTATCCTTTTGCTGTTGCTGTAGTAAATCATAGCTGCAAGTACAACCATATGCTGAGTCCTGTGAATCCTCCTGTGAATGACCTAACCTGAGGGTGGTCTTGAGGGCTTCCTGACATAGCCTAGCAATCCCACTTCTGGGAGCTTACCATCTCCATACAAAATTATGTATACACAAGGTTATCCATTGTAGGACTGTTGTAATAAAAGACTGGAAAGAGCCCAGGTGTCCATCTGTAGGAAACTGGTTAAATAGGATATATCCACACAGTAGGAAACTCTTAATATACTGATACAGAATGATTTCCATGATAGGTTAAAAAAAATTAAGATGTAGAATGGAGTACATCACTTTCCACCTTGTGTAATAAAAGTAGAAAAATATGGATGTTATTCAAATATGGCATACTAAGATATGAAGATCCAGAAATTAATTAAAGAGATAGACTGTATGTGAGAAATATAGGGAACAGGGTGGATGGAGACAAGAATAGAGAATTCAAAAATTAAAAGAAAAAAGAGCTGAGATTTCTAGGAGAGGGGGTAAGTCTGCTGGGAAAGCAGTTAAGTCAATCTCTGAAGATTCTTCTGGATGTGGTCCATGACAAGGGGATTCACTTTTACTTCCAGAGAAGTGAAGTACTTACTTTGCATGGACCAGAAGCTTTCTTTTTTTTCAATTCATCTCTGCTTTTCTCATATTCATTCTTTGATGCTAATTTAAGGGGAAAAAAGTGGCAATAGATATTTTCAGAATAAGTAAAATAGAAAGGAAAAATTCCTCCTAAGAGAACATTATAATTACTGAAGAAAACATATCAATGATCATCAAATTCTCAAAAATTCCTTCTACTACTGTAAAAACTATGTTAAGAAGATAAAATTTTTCCTTCACTAATAACTCTAGTTTTTAAATCCTAAGGCTATTCTACAAGCTTGAATATAACTACACTATGTGAAAAAGTAAAAGAAAATGAGGCTGATTTTACTATTCCACAGTTTAACCATTACAGGTAAAACCAGAGAAAAGCAGTCCTTTTAATAAGCCAACTTTTCAACCAATTTCTTTTAATAGTTTTGGAATTCATTCCCATAATAGCACATATTTGACTCTGGGAGATGGAAAATTGCATGGCCAGAGAGAAGCATCAAGCCATTAAGTGCTTTCTGGGGCAAGGAGAGGGAACCCCAGGAGGTAGAAGAGTGAAAGAAAGGCAAATAGGATGGCACCAAATACCGACCTCTCATATATTCCAGTTGTGTCCAGGGCCCTAGCAGCAGCATCTACCTAGTGTCTATAACACCATTCTCTGTGCTGCCTTCAGGTCAGCTGCTAAACCCTCTTCTATGAAACCAGCTGGCCACCTGTGTGCAGAGCAGCAATGGAGTCTGCTGTACTACTTGCCTGAGGGTTCCTTGCGTGATGAAGTTGTTTTGCTAATCTCTTGATTATTTTGTTCCACCTGGCTGAGTTGAGACATGTTTTCTATAAAAAGCAGTATCAGAGCGTATTGTTAATACTTAATTCATGGTACAAAGCCAAGAAAACAAAAACAAAAGCAAGAGAAGCTAGGCACGTAAATAATCATTCAGTTTTACTATGAGCTTCAACCAATTGCAATAAGGTTGTCAATAAATATGCCTCCAGATGTCTAACAGAGAACTACCAATTTTCCACTTAAAAAACTAGCCAACTTTGAAGTAAAGCTTTTTGGCAATACTTACAAAAAGCCTTAAAAATGTACATACTCCTTGGCCTAGAAATTTTTACTTCCAGGAACATATTTTTTAAAAAATCAGAAATAAGCACAAAGATTTATTATATACAAGTATGTTTAGAATAGCAAAAATAACTAATCTATATGTTTAACAATTGGGAGTTGATTAAATAAATTATGACACATGCATGTGATGGACCATTATGCCCTTTATTAAAAATCATATTTTAAAAAAATATTTTAAGACACAGGAAAAAAACAGGTTATAAAATAGCATGTATAGAGGAGCTGAGGGCCAGCCTGCTCTGCTCAGATGTAGGCAAGAAACAGAGCACTCCTGGGGTCCTTAGGCAGGAGCTGAGGGCAGCATTCCCCGCTGGGAAACAGGCAAGCAGCATGCTGAAAACACCACTTCCTTGCAGGTGGCCAACCACAGCCATCGCCACAGCCAAGGTTGCTGCAAAAGTGGCTTGACTCCACAGCAGTAGCCATAGCTACTGTGCAGGCGGCCTGCTAGACACCCAAGTGCAGTGACACGAGGAGAGTCGCCAGTANGGAGCGCCACCACACTTCCCAAGCGGCACACTATAGCAGTGCGCCACCGGGCCGGCCCAGGCATGATCCTTCTTAAGAAACTTTAGTCCAATAAGTACGGTTATGCTTAGCCTCTGTTTTAGGAATAGGGAAGAAATGAATAAGGAGTAACTTCTCCTGAGACCACCTGACTGAGCCCTATCATCTACTCTATTCTACTGCCCTCCAACTCATAGAGTGGCAGCAGCTCAGGAGTATTCCACAGGAGCTGTGGTTCCAGATTCCACAGCTTTCAATCTTCTATAATTCTGGAAAAGATTTGGTATACCTGCTCTTAATTTAAATTGTAATGGGGATAAATAATGACTGGCAGTAAAAAGAAGAAGACCAAGAAAGTATGTTTCTTTACTACAAAGTCAGCATATCACATATACAAAGTTAAAATGCACAGGCAAGAATTGGCTTTGCTTTTTTAAACCTATCCACAATTAATGCAATCACCACACTGAATAGCACAGGAAGGAGAAGAAAGATATTACCACGTTTTTTTGTGTCTTTAGCACATGTGAGATCTGTGGGAGGACTTGTTTCCTGCACTGCTGCATCTGGCTCTATTTCCTGCTTCAGCCTACTGCTTCCATCCTGCATTTTTTTCTTTTCATGCTCCTCCTTTTCTTTCTCTTCTTCCTCTTCCTCTTCCTCCTCTTCCTCTACTTCAGGCTCATCCTTCATCCTCATTAGAGTTGGAGGGAGTTCTGGACGCTTAGGGGGTAACTTCTATGAAGAAAACAAAAACATGAAGTAGTTCTACATAATGATAAAAAGAGACAAATCTCTTCAAGGAGGTTAAGCTAAATGTGTTAGAATGTCTAACTTCTCTAGGTTGATAAACCCCAAAGAAGTCTACTAGAAGTAAGACTTTCATGTAAAATTTTATCCATCTATGGACGCTTAACAAGTGTCTTTATTATTTTCTAGGGTCGAGACATTATTAAATACAAAACAGCTTGTATGGAACTAAAACATTTATTCCAGGTGAGTACC